CACTTGGTAGCCCAGGCTGGCCTCGAACTCACAGAGATCCACCTGCCTCTGCCTCCCGAGTGCTGGGATTAAAGGCATGCACCACCACCGCCCGGCATGAACTGGCCTTTTGAAGCCCATTGTCTATGATGGGACACCTTGCACAGCCTTGATGCAGGGGGGAAGGGCTTGGACCTGCCTCAGCTTAGCTGACTCCCCATAGGAGGCCATATCTTTTGAAGGAGGGGATGGGGAGTGGGCTGGGGGAGTAAGGCTGCAGGGGGGAGGGAGAGGAGGGTTGAGAGAGGGATCTGTGGTTGGTATGTGGAATGAATAAAAATTTTCTCAATGAAAAAGAAAGAAAGAAAATGTTTTTCATGAATGCCACTGTTAGCTGTAAGGTGCGAGGCAGTCTGCTGGGGGAACCGGTTGCCTAATGTACAGGTCTCTGGGAACACAGCTAATCTTGCTCAGCTTTGGTTCCTGCAACGCATAAGGCCTCAGTGTTCCCTCACTTACACTTGAGACTTTTCTCAGAGAACATTTAAGTGACAATCCAGTCCCACATGTATATTCCCTAAAGAATGATTCTGTCATTGACATCTTGGAATGTTATCTATAAAGTAAGACCATGAACAGATTTGAAGGGTTTTGGTTCTCTGGATGTTTTAGGTAGTTGGTCTTCATTTTTCCTGGTAACATAATGGTTTCTATGAGCTATAGCAATATTCACTCAAATGTGAGGTGAGGGAACTTTTTTAATAAGGAGTAATGTCAATTATGACATGCCATGAAGTGATGTGTGCAGCTCAAAAGTGTGTGTCCTTGACCTTTACATTTCCTCTCAGTTCCTGTTCCAAGAGCTCAATGTGTAACCCATTACACTTCTGAGCTTGATTTGAAGGGCTGAGCAGATACAGTATGTACTGTGCTCTTCTGTACTTTTTGGGCATTATGTCTTGTAAACTACCCTAAGTGTAGTCTTCTAGTGTGGATCTACCTGAATATTTAGACATAGTGGAGATCTCTAGACAGTTTCAGAAATTGATTGAGCTTAAATTTTGCTTCCTCTTGACAATCCCTTCGAGTCCATCCTTGTAGAACAGAAGCTACTCCTTGGCTGAGGATTCTCTTTTCTATGTTGATTCTTTTTCTTATCTAAATTTACATTTTATTTTGCTGTATAAGCATTTTGCCTGCATAAATGCTCATGTACCACACACACACACACACACACACACACACACACACACACACACATCTGTTACCCACAAAGGCCAGAAAAGCTCAGATCCCTTGGAACTGGAGTTGTATATGCTTGTGAGCTACCATGTGGTATTTCATCCTGGTCTCAGGCAGCCTGTGTCTCATTATAATTACGTTTCCTCATGGACTGATGAATGGAAAGAAAAGAGGAGTCATATTAAAGAACCTCCCTTCTGAGGATCGCAACACCACAAAAGACAAACTTTACCTGTAACAGTGCTCGGCTTTGGAGCAACACTTTCCAAGCTCTAAGTTCCACAGGTGGCCACCCTTTCCTTGGAGAACTCTAAGGGAGCTGGCTGTCCCATTGAAATGCTTGTAATTATTTGCTAGGGCTTCTCGCCTAGTGTGAGACAATCCTGAGAACTTCATTCAGGGCATAAGATGTAACAAGGCTTCTTATGACCATGCTAGTAAGCTTTGAAACACATTAAAAATTTGCACGGGATTTGACCAAGATCAGGTGTCCAGAACCCATGCAGAGACACAGCTCTCAGTGTGGCTGCCCTGACCTAACTCTAGCTAGATAAAGGTTCAACTTATCCACAGGACTGTAACTTAACTCCCAAGAAGCAACTGAGACTTTTTCTACTTCTACAGTATTTATCAAATTCTGTATTTCTCCCAGGTGTGTGTGTGTGTGTGTGTGTGTGTGTGTGTGTGTGTGTGTGTGTGCGTGCGCGCGCTCATATATGGGCATTTGTGTGTCACATGTAGAGGTCAGAAGACAGCTTTCAGTGTTAGCTCTTGCCTCCCACCTTGGTTTTGAGGTAAACTATCTATGTCCTCTAGGCTATCTGTCCTCTAAGCTTCAGGCTCATTCTCCAACAGTGCTGTGTTTATGGATAGGTGCCACAACATCTGGCTTCTTCTGTAGGTTCTGTGGATCAAACTCAGGTCTTCAGAGTTGCATGGTAAGTGCTTTTACCATGGAGCCATCTTTCTGCCCCCTCTCACAAGCCTTTGAAACAGGTAAAAGTAAGAAATGATACAATGAAACATTGAAAGTAGATTCACATTCCTTTGGAGAATGGGTTTTTTTTTTAAATCTAATTTTAAAAAAGATTGTCAGAGAGGACTTAACTTTGATGGAGCAATCTCCCTTCCCATTCCAAGGCCTGGTGTCGACATGAGGCCTCCTTCACTCAGCCCACGTTGAGGGCCTTCAGATCTCATCCCTGGTGGTTCAAGGGTTCTCTTCCACATGGAGACTTCACTTCTAAACATGACAGGTTTGCTGCTAAAGATATTTGGAAGAGACTCGGGGTCAACAAACACAGCAAACCAAAACTGGGTAAGTTCCCACCATTGTTAACGTACAGCTCTACCTCATTCCCGTCTTTCAGTTCTGACTTGTCTACCTCATGGAAGAGGTTGCCGGTAAAGCATTGGAGACTGTTGTGATGTCTCACAATGCTTCAGGGTTCAGTACCACTTTTGCATCTTCATGGACTGGATTATTTGTTCATTGCTCTCTCGCTGTTTGTTCTCTGAGGACTCTGCAATAGGAGAGGTCCAGACTCAGACACTGGATGATGTTGTGATGTGGCTCTTTGCCATGGTGAAGTGGTGCCTAGTAACCAAGGTAGCCGCACCAACAAGGGGGTCATAGAAGCCTCCGGAAAAGTCCTCATGTCCTGCACTGTATCTGTGTCCGTGGGTTCTGGGTACTTTTAATAGCACCCACTTTTCCTCCTGGATTTCAAGTACAAGTTCTTACCCTGGTTCTGGCTCAGGTTCGGGCTCCAATTCTGCAATAGGTTCTAAGTCATTGCTGACAGCCCATCATAGACTGTTCCAGAATCATCTTTACCACTTCACGGGTCTCCTCCTTCAACAGGAAACTCTGGTTAAGTATTCCCCAACAGCTGGCTGGGCCTCCCTCTCTTTATCTCAGTGTGTTCTGCCCCTAAGTCTCTTATATGTTTAGTCCCGTCTCCACATCTGCTTCATAGAGGACCCAAACTAACACACATACAGTAAAGGAGAAACAACTGACTTTCTCACCCAGTCCTAGATTCAATTTTTATATCTGCCCTCATTAACTATGTGACCTTAACTCCTGTAATTTTCTCATCAGTTAAAATACATTTTCTCTTAAAGTTATAGTGAATATTGAATGAGATCCATTTGAGCAGTACCTGTAATGTGCCTCCTGTAATAGGTACACAGTAGGTTCATTTCTCATCATTGTCCTGCAGCAGGGCAGTGAGGTACTGAGGCGCTGTAGTGTTAAGCTTTGATAAGGGGCTGCACAGAAGGCCAGGCATGGTGATGAACACCTGTGATCCCTGAGCTCAGGAGGTGGAGGTTAAAGGGTCAAGAGTTCAAGGGTAGTCTTGGCTACACAGTGCGTTTGAGGTCAGCCTGAGCTATGCAACACTCAGAGAGAGACAGAGGCAGGCAGAGACAGAGACAGTCAGAGAGACAGAAACAGAGACAGAGAAAGAGACAGATAGAATGAGATTGATTTGCATGGAGGAGCCCCACATCTCTCAGGAGGACATGCTTATCACTCAGCTGTGGAAGGTGGCCATGAGGTGTGGCCGTGGATCTGGAGCTGTCAGTCACTATTCCTTGTGGCAGGAGGTCTGAGATCTGAGTTATTCACTTGCATGGCAAGTGTTCTCATCCCACTGTGTGGCACGTTCACTCTCCACACAGATTCAGAAAGCAGTGTGGCTGCTGGGAACTGAACCCAGACTATTCTCAAGGGCAGCAAGTGCTCCACACTTAACCTCCAGCGTGATCACCTCGGCCACGTCATGTGTGTTTCTCTCAGGTCGGTGGCTAATAGTGGAGGTTGCTAATGTCAACTGGCCAAGCCATCTTGGCTGTTTGGTTATTCAGTGCCTCTCCCATGGCAAAACTTTCTTGTGTGTGCCAATATGTGATACCAAGGCTTTTCACATTGGTACAGTAGTAACTGGGGAGGGTAGGTTCCAGGACACCCAGGGATACCACAATCTGCAGGTGCCAAAGTCCCTAATGTATAATAGACAGTATATAGGATTTGCATGTAACTGACATACCTCAACACATACACATGCTTTTCAGTTCTGCAGATGGAGCCAAGTTTCACATATGTTATTACATTTCCTTAAGGAAGCCCCCTCAAAATCTAGAATCA